GCCACATGGGCCCAAGCGGGGACAAAGAGGATGGAAGCGCGCTCCGCAGACAAAGGAGACAGGAGACGCGCGCCTACGTACCAGGAAGAAGGGAGGACAGAGGGACGAGAGTCGCGCCTCGTGGGAGACGCGCGCCTCACAAGAGAACGGAACGAGACGCGCGGCTCACGAGTACGAGAAGAGAAACGCGCCGCTCGGACGGAAGAGACAGGAGGCGCGCGACGGAAGGAGAGGAGGGAGAACGGGGAGTCACAAAAGCGCGCGCCTCAGAGAAAGGAGCAGCAGGACGACATGTGAGGAAACGCGCCCCTCAACCGGACGGAGGTGGGGGGGCGCGCGACTGAAGAGTAGGAAGAGGGAGGCGCGCACCTCAAGAGGGGGAAAAAAGGAGGCGCGCGCCCCAGAGGGGGGGAGTGAGAACGCAGGCGGGAGACTCGCGCCCCAGAGAGGGAACGAGGCAGGCAGGGGGAGACGGTCGACTAAGCAAAGGGCGAGCGGAGAGAGCTCAAGCGTTAGGGGAAGGGCGATGCGCCCCGCCGAGGAGAGGAGGAGAGGAGGCGCGCGCCTCGAAAAGAAGGAGGGAGGACGGAGGGACGAGACGCGCGCTTGAAAAGGAAGGGGGAGGAGGAAGCAGGAGTGGTGAGGCGCGCCCCTCGGAGGCGGGGGTGGACGGAGACGCGCGCCTCAGAGCAGGAAAAAGGACGCCCCCCCCGTCATCCTCTGCAAAAAATCATGCGCGCGCTCGTTTATCAAATCTCATCATTCCATCATACTAAATGCACGTGCGCGCATTGTCGCGCGCGCATGTCGGAATCTTTCAGAAACATGAAGTGTCGTGAGGATTTCAAAATCGAGCGCCCCGCAAACAGATGTTAAAAACACGCATGGTTTCGCACAGCTGGGTTTCTAAAAAGCTTGCGCGCGCTCTTGCGGCTCATTCTTAAAGAAAACCATAAGCTGTTCAACATTGTCAGAACATGCTACCAAACGGACTTCGCGCGCACGTCGCAATCGTTCGAACGCCCTTGCGCGCGTGCTGTCGCGAGAATCCTTTGCATCAAATGAAACGAAGTGCACGCGCGCGCTTCGTCGCGCGCGCATGCCAGAATCCGAAAATGATGAACGGTCGGACAACAACTGGCAACCTCCGAACACTTTTGGGAAGCCAGCACTGACCTCTCATGGAGTCTCCCAACGTACCTCCGCCAATTTCCGCCGAGCTTCCACCAGCGGCACCGCCCTCGTTATACGTGCGTTGGCTTTCGCCGAGGGCGAGAGGTTTACCCTGCGAGTCCACATTTGTTTTACCCTCGGGGGGCTCAGGAGGCCTTGGAGTCCACGGGCCAGGCAAATGAGGCAACCTCACCCCAGCAGCAGCTCAGGAGCAGGCCCGCAGCCGTTGCTGACGAGAGCAACAGCAAGGCGTCCAAATCAAAACAGTCACCCAGAGGCCATGTTAATCGCAAGCTGGATGGCACGGCGCTTGCGGCAAAGGCCTCTGAGGCGTCCTTCAAAGATCCGTCTAGGCAACACTCTCACACCTCTCCTCCAGGAGTTGTGGGTTAAGTAAAAGGCCTCGCTGCCGCACATCGCAGCATATCGGAGATCCGTTTCAGGGCTGAGGAGGGGTGTCAAAACAAGGAGGTCTGAGAACCAGTCAGCCCCGTGAGGGGGTAGCTCATCACGAACCCAAAGTCCCAGAATCTCGCGTAATATCGGACATATCCCGTAATGTCGTAAACAATCCGTAATACCCGTCCCACGGCACCCAAACATACAATACCTCTCCGCAGACCTGAAACGGGTAGCCGTGCAAAGCCCACGGCAAGCGATCCGCACCTGAGACAAAACAAGATGCGTGCCAGTAGCGCGCCTAACCCTTTGGAGCCGCAGCAACATGTTAGGAATGCAAGAAGGGTCAACTTCGGGGTCCACCGATCAAGCCTGGTCATCAGCATCTCGGGGACACTGCGACCAGGACGACGACACATGCGCTGAAGGGAAGAGTAGAGCTTACGTTGGATAGCCTTCCGAGGCGTCGTCGGAGGGAGCGTAAGGAGGATAGAGAGGATAATACCACGTGCCGCTGCCACCTGAGTAGTGATACAAGTCGTATTCCAACCGGTGTGTAAACGAGCAATGCAACAGTCATCAGAGCGGCCAAAGGCACGAAGAGTTCCCAATTTGTGGCAAAAGACGGGCCAGTGTTCGGCACACCTCGCACGCGCTGCAATGCTGATACGAGGGAGATGCTTCAGACTGGTACTCCCGCCGCACACACTTAGGTTCTCGAGTAGTTCCGGCGGCAACGCATTCCACGGCCAGTTCGTTAACACCTGCGCACACCGACGACAGGCATCAAGCAAGGCACGAGACGGAACATAGAACTGCAGCACATACTGCAACAAGGAAAGACAAAGCACATGGAACGTCCTCAAACTCAGCGCCAAGCCTAATCCCGCACGCCGCACACCCATATTACGGTCCAGCAGGCGCGGGATCAGCTCATCCCACGCATTGGCAGCACCATCGGGACCGATCATCACCCCCAGATAGTTGGTTACATTTGTAATACTAAGTTGAATGTACTGTGGGCCCAAGGAACCCTGCGAGTCCACATATTGGATCGATACACATGTCAGTGGCGCACGGCGGATCGGACCGAAACTGGAATCCAAGGGTCAGATCGGCCAGGAACCGAAGCTCCTAAGTTGGCCAAGCCTCTCATGGGCCACTGGCGAAAGCCCATGGAAGGCCTGGCCAAGCTTGGTGCTGGCATATCACTGACCCCTCCCGCGAACTTCACGCGACGCCCCATGACTTCCGAACCCGCCGGCCTTGAAGGTGATGTGATATCATTCCTTTTTTCCGCAAAGGCAAGGCGAGGTGCAGTAGCAACAGTGGTCTGGCTGATGAGGCAACGTCGGGCCTACCCTCCGACGAAGTGCCGCACATCATCTAAGGCAAGGAAATCCGCCCACCCCTTTGGGTGACTAGTATGTGAAATCGACAGGCAACCTGCCTCATGCAATGCCCAGCTACCCTCGCCCATTTGACAAGTGGCCCCGATTGACAGATTTGCCACTGGCAACAAGGAGGGTTCCAGTCTCCCCGAGTGTCCATTGAAAAGTGACACAAATTGTCGAAGTGGTCATCGGCGACAGCATTGACAGGACATTTCTGAGCCCAGAAATGGGAGGTCTCGGGCGAAATTGGTTGAACCACCTCAGGTCTGGGCATCCCCGAAAGAACAATCCCGACGATGTCTCAGGCGAAAAAGACTGGGACCGCGTGAGGTGAGGGCATAAGACGTACATAAACCCGGAGTGGCAATGATATCTCAAGCGAAACGAACAGTCCACGGCAACTGCAAACCGAGAGCAGCGAGGAAACGGGAACTGATAGTTAACGTGCGGCCTGAGCATCGACTGATCCAGAATAGCGAGGATGCACCGGGCGAAGATTGCTCTGCGAGGATGTCTCAAGCCAAAAAAGCTGGACCACCTCAGGACAGCGGCGAAGAAGTCGAAGCGAAATGGGCTTGACTATCTCTCGCGCGGCATCTCGAAGCCCACAACTGCAGGGATGTCTCGAGACCGGCCGGACCGCCTCACAGGCGGCATCTCAGGGCCCAAATTAACGATGATGGCTTCGCCGGAACCGACCCAAACAACTCCTCGCATGGGGTCTCCTAACTCAAAAACCCACCCGTCTTCTGGGCAGGAGATGGTCAATCGCGGTTCCTTGTCTAACCCCATTGTTCCCCTTCGGGGATGGGGTCGTTGCTGCTCCTGGATAATATTTGCCACCTCGCCCGATCTACCGACCGCTAACCTGAGCCTCTGCCACCTCCCTCGACTCAAACCAACAAATTGAAATACCCCCAGGCGGCTCCCCCATTGGAGCTCGGAAGTGCGAGGCGATCTGTCGGAACGATGATCATCGGATTATCATGGTTCTGTAGATCCGCCACCGTGCCTCTGGGCACGGAGTGGGCGTGCCCGGAGGTCCTTGCCAAAATCATCACGCCTGAGGGGTCGCTCAAGAGCCCAAGGCCCCGCGTCGCGACAGCTTCTCCTGGGGCTTCTCGCGGTTTCTCGCGTGACTGTTTCGGAGCGATGGGGGCTCCCAGAACGGGCCCAACAGGGCCCAAAGAGGCCCACGACGGCCCAGAACGCCCCGAGCCGCCCAAAGATCGCTCCAAGACGCCTTGAATGGCCTCAAGATGGCCCAGGAGGCCTCCAAGATGCCCCAAGAGGCCTCGAAGATGCCTCCCAAGAGGACCCTGAGAGGCAACAACCATTGATATGTATTCGTTGTTTCAAAAATTTGGGCGTTCTCGCCGTGCTTCCTTCCCGACGCTCTCAGACGGCCCTCGAGGCCCCCAATACCACCCCAGGACTGTCCAAGCGGCCTCCAAAACGGCCCCAATAGTGGCCCGAGAGAGGGAACACGAACCCACAATCCGAGCGTTCCGCCCCAAGAGGCCCCCAGGAGGCCCCAAGCGGCACTCAAGAGGCCCCAAGAGGCTCCAAGAGGCGCCCAGGGGACCCAACAGCGACCCCAAGAGGCTCCAAAACTGCCCCCAAGAGGCCTCAAAACTGCATCCAATCCAAGAGGCTCCCTAAAGGTCACCCTCGAAATCCCACCGAACATCCAATAGGCTTCACACCCACAACCCAGGCGCAGTGGCGAGATGGGCCGATGGCTATTCGATAGAGAGGAGCCCGAGGTGCAACAGAGAATCAAGAGTCCAGGGGGCGAGGCTCAAGCCTGGATGTCTCACCTGAACCCTTCCTACCGTGCTCGGAAAGGCAGCCCGACAACAAACGAATTAAACATACGTCGCTCAATTAGGGTCGGCGGCAGAGGCAGCAGCCTTTCGATTAAAGGGAGAGAGCAGTGTTCAGAAATATTGCGAAGCTGACACAATGTCGATGAAATCTATCGCGTTCGCTACGAGTGAGTCACATTGACTCTGTTTCTGTGACCGATTATGGCTATCTTGTCAGATCCTCAGGCGCTGAAGCGCTGGCTTCCAAGACCTCCTTCGCACCCGATGGCGCCTCGGTGCTGGGCCACGAGACCTCCTTCAGGCGCGCCTTCGGCTTGCCTTCCACGGTGCCGTGGGACTCCTCCTGCCATGCGGCAGCCAGCCATCCGCAGTACGCGGGCGTGCACGTTCGCCTCCCGCACTCCTCGGCTGCCCTGCAGGCCCACCACCGGGCTCCCACAGAAGGAGATTTTAGGGAGCTGCCCGTGGTGGCGCACCTGCTGTGCAGAGTGTCCCTGAGCACGTCCGACATCCTCTTGACCGCCCACTCGACACCGTCGGGTCGCTCGAAGCGCACACGACTCTCGATCGCCGATCCCTGGATGGGCCTCCGGAGCCTCTGCTCCTCGGCCGGGGTCAAGCCCGTGAGGTAGACGTCGAGGGCGAAGAGGAGATCCAGCCGCCAGCGGTTGAACTTCTTGAGCAAGTCCGTCATCATGTCCTCGAACTCCATGCGTTGGGCCGCGAAGCCGTCTCCTCCCCGCGCGATCCAGAGCACGCGGAACTTCCCGTTCTTAATAAGGTCGTGCTCGGCCCCTAACTGAGAGCTGGCGTCGCCCATGCACAGGACCTGGCTCGCGGCGTAGATGCGCGCGATACGCCACAGCGCGAACGCGCCGCGCAAGAGCACGGCCATGCGGAAGGAGGCGCTGTAGAAGGACGGAAGCTCGCCCGCCCGTGCGAAGTGGGTGCTGAGCACGAGCGCCGCTGCCGACGCATCCGGCACACCCACGACGGACCGCCCGAAGATGCGAGGAGTAGCCCAGCAGTAAGCCTGGTGCACCAAGATGAGCGAGATGCAGACGAGGCTCATGACCTCCGATGCCTTCCACTGGCCTGGGTCGACCTTTGGGAGCTCGGCGTCAGACTCCATTCTATTCAGATGCTTCCCAGAGAACGTCCAGAAGCCCTGACACATGTCCAGGAGCAGGACGACGTGAGCGAGTATGTCGAACATGTAGTGGTAGCACACACTACTCGTAGCCCTGGACAAGATCATCGAAGCCTGCTTGCCCCTCACCCGCATGCAGCGCAGCTTCCACCAGTACTGCAGCATGATGAGCCTCGTGGTCCACGGCTCCGTGGAGCGTCGTGTGTTCAAGACGAACCACTTTCTCGGGGTCCTCCTGAATCTCCTGCAGCAGTTCCTTCTTCATGAGCGTCAGACTGCGATGGCGCTCCCTCATCAACGACGTCATGGGCACGGTGCCCGCCCCCGTGCCCACTGCGCTGACGTTCACGAACATATCTGTATCGAGTCCTGGACCGAACGGGCCCACGATGTTCACTCCGTTGACCATCCCCTCTTCGATGGCGTCGGCCAGCTTCTCGGCCCACCGGCCCTTGTACACCACCATGTAGAACCAGAACACCTCCTCTTCCGGCGCAGAGGCGATGGAAAACGGGCGGAACGTGATGTCCAAAGAAGGGATCTGGATGTACGCGTACTGGCCAGGAGCGAACCGGAAGACGACCGGCTTCTTGCACTCCAGCGTGAACATGCTCTTCGTGGAAATGACGACGGCATCCTGTACGGGCACGTCGCGCCGCACGGTGAGGAAGCTCCAAGCCCTGTCCAAGAAGTATAAGCTGAGTGTCGCGGCGGCAAATCGGAAATTCTGCGACCGATTCTTGCCGACCAGAATGCCGTCCCGAAACTGGTCGTCCAGGGTGTGCGCAATGGCCATGCCGAACATGAAGAACACGAGATGGTGCAGCACGTTGAACCACTCGAACGGCATGTGGCGCCGCAGGAAGGAGCTTGCCATCACAATCACCAGGAGGACGAAGATGCAGAGTCCTGTGATCATGACATCGCTCTGCATCTTCTCTCAGAAATCGACGGGCTCGAGAAGGCGGCCGAGCTCCCGAGATGTTGTCGTCAGCCGTGCCTGACGAAGACGGATAATACGCTGGTGGTAACAATTATGAAGAAGCACATGATGTATCCCAGGGACATGTGGAAGAACGTCATGTGCTCCAGACAGATAAAATGTCGAATCCTCGTTCGAGCAACTAGGGCGAAAAGGTGGTGACTCATCCTGGCAGGCAGCCACACCATCTGCCAAATGATGGCGTGCATGAGGCCTAACTCCAGTGGCAGAACCAGGCGCTTCTGCCAGTACTTGGGCATGGGCATCCCAGCATCCTCTGGAGCGAGGGGTGCCTTCGCGGGGACGAACTCAGGGACTCCTTCCTGCTGCCTGAGCTCATTCAGGCACAAACGGGACCATATCAACAGGGTGATAACGAGATGGACTCCGACGAAGAGCGCCTGGTGATAGCGGGCGGCGCACGTAGACAAGAGCGCGCTCGCACACCCGCTCCTCCGCTCCTTCAGCATCTTCTCGGGTCGGGCGAAAAGGGGGGGATAGCAAAGGGGGGGGGTGAGAATCAGCTCACGTAGCTGATTTTCCCGGCGCCTCCCGGCGCCGGAGGCGGCTATGTATCGAGGAATGGGCCCCTCGGAGGGGCCGAAACCAGCTGCATGCAGCAAATTTCGTAACCCCCCCTTTCCCAATCCCCCCCTTTCGTCCGGCCCGATCTTCTCGGACAGCTCCAACTGCTCCCTCTTGAAATCGTCGCGGCATGCACCGCGCGGACGCTGGACCACCAGATCTTTCGAGTAGAGGATCGACTACAAAATTGATTTACCCCAGAATTGTTTTTTCAGTCGGATCTACGAAGGATCACGTCGAAATCCAGGGACGTTCTACGTATTCCTTCCTAGTTCCGACGACGAAATCAATTTTGAGGTTAATCAATTCTGTAGTCGATCCCCTACTTGAATCTTGCAGAGATCCTCACCGGAGACCTGCCGGCGGGCGTGGGTGCTGCCCGTGGCGAACCACCAGTCCTCCTGGCAGCTCTTCCTCTCTTCGCCATCACCACCGACTGAGTACTGCCTGCCGCCGGGGTGGAGGCGGTGCCCGTGGTGGCCGCCCTCCATGGTAAAACGACGCGAAGATCGGGACAAAATCGGATCGGGAGAACTCGAAATCTCTGAGAATCGGCGGGTTTGGAGGATGTGTTGGGCGCCGCGGCCGCCCCAGAGCGTTCCGGAACGCTCTGAGAGCGCTCCGGAACGCTCTGGAGCGATTTATCCCGATCCTAGCCCTGTTTTAATGGGCCCGCAGGCGCCTCAAGGCGCCTCCTCCACGCCAGGAGGCTCCGGAGAGGTCAGTGCCGCCACCCGGCGCGCGAGGGAGGAGAAGTGGATGTGCGGAGCGCCGCGCTCGCGCGCCCGAGGTGATCTGGGGGCAGGAAGCTGGCGCAGGGGCTCCCCCTCGAGCCAGAAAACATGAGTCAAAACGGGCTCGAGCCCTCCTTCCCCTCTCCTCGTCCGCCTCCGCCTCCGCCTCCGCCTCCTCATCCTCGTCACTACTATCCTCTCACCCCTGTGTTTTTTCCGAAATATGTTCGGCCCTCTCCACGCACTGTTCTGTTGTCACAGGTCATACTCATAATTTGACAATATCGTATTGTTCGTTTTGTTTTCCCCATCAAAGACGGCTGGGACCCTCATCCTGTGCAGCGCAAAACCTCCTCTATGCAACGACCTCTGAGCACTCCATGCCACCGGAGTCCGTTCAAAGCAGGGCACGGCAACACGCAGAAGTTCGAGCGACAACATTCGGTATCGCTCAGAACGTCACAGAGCAACGTGCAGAAGTTCGAGCGACACCATTCGGTATCGCTCACAACGTCTGACACAGGAGCGTCAAATCAAGGAAGTTAGAGGGCGGGAAAGACAATTCAGAGAGAAGCTCCCATCTACCACGCGGAGTGCCTGGCACTCTCGAGGGTAGCGCTCCGTCGAACAGCGCAGGAAAGAGGAGGAGGCGGAGGAACGAGGAGGAGGACGAGGAGGGAGAACACACCCAAACAGAAACTCGCGCGTGCGTAGGCCGACCCGGTAGACGGCCCCCGCACAGTAACCCTCGCGAGCACGAGTGATACCAAGGGGGAAGAAGGAAGGAGAAGGGAGGAGGAAGGAGACCGAATTCACCAGCGGTGCAATCAGATATCAGCCTGGGTGACCCCTGCAAGGCCGGCCCGAGTCCTACCACGTAGGGGCGGGACGCGGCAGAGTGGATTCACCCTTGGGGTGGCGGCCAATAAAGAAAAACCAAGGGGAGGGACAAGAAGACCAGGGGAAGTGGAGAGCTGCGGCTGCTCAGAGAGCTCACCGCCTGCCTAGCCTCTAGGACAGGGGATCGCTACGTCAGATCTTGATCAGAGATTCCACGAAGATGAAGACTAGGACCGCCACGTCGAAGAAGGTGTTGCGCTCCGTCGTGGTGGACACCCTGGGAGTGCTCAACTCCGTCGAGCTGGACATCTGCTCGTCCCCATCGTCCCCTCAGCTCATCGTTGCGTCGACGGAGGCGCTGACGTTGGTGCCGGCGTAGGCGAAGGCGTTGATGCTGGCGACGGTGCCGGCGTCGTCGCTGGCGAAGGTGCCAGCGTTGGTGCGGGCGCCGGCGTGCACCGGTCAATTGGTCAGATCGCTGGTGTGCCGGCGTCGGTGTCGGCGTAGGCGGGGGCATTAGCGTTGGCGTAGGGGCGCTGTTGTATGCACCGGCGTTGATGCCTGCGAGGACGCAGGCCTTGATGCTGGCGTCGGTGCTTGCGTCGGCCCTGGTGAAAGCGCCAGCGTTGGTGCTGATGCTGGTGCGCACCGGTCAGCTGGTCAGCTCACCGGAGCCCTGGTGTTGTTAGACGCATGTGGTGGTGCTGGCGTAGGGGCTGACGTCGGCGCTGGTGAAGGCGCTGGCGTTGGTGCCGGCGTCGGCGCAGGCGTTGATGCTGGCGTCAGTGCTGGCGTCAGCGCTGGCGAAGGTGCCGGCGTTGGTGCTGGCGCTGGTGAGGCAGTGGAGGTGGGAGTAAGACAGAGGAAAGTGGGCATTGGAAGGGGCAGTGTAGTGAGTCGGGCGCTCTTGTCTTGGTCAACCTTGTCCTCGCGGCCATGATTGATTGATGAATCCTCTGTTGCGTTGTCGTCAGATGGCCGGCGTTGGTGCTGGAGTCGGTGCTGACGTCGGCGCTGGTGTAGGCGCTGGCGTTGGTGCAGGCGTCGTAGGTCCTTGGGGCTGGGTCGGACAGCCAGCGTTCGTGCTGGCGTCAGCGTTCGTTGTTGCCACAAGCGCCGGCTCTCGTGCTGGCGTCAGTGTAGACGTCGGCGCTGGCGTTGGCGTCGAAGTAGCCGCAGGCGGTGATGCTGACGTCGGCGTTGGAGTCGGGTCAGGCGCAGGCGCCGGCGTTTGAGCAAGCGTCGGTGCTGGCGTCGGTGCTGGTGCAGGCGACGGCATTGGTGCCAGCGTAGGCGCAGGTGTTGGTGCTGGCGTCGATGCTGGCGTCGGCGCCAGTGTAGGCGCTGGCGTTAATGCCAGCAAAAACGCAGGCGTGGATGCAGGCGTCGGTGTTGGCGTCGGCGCTGGCGTATGCGCCCACGTTGGGGCTAGCGTCGGTGCTGGCGTCGGTGCTGGTGTAGGTGCTGGCATTGGTGTCGGGTTAGGCGTCGGCGTTGGTGCTGGCGTCGGTGCAGGTGTAGGCGTCGGCGTCGTTGAAGGCACAGGCGCAAGCGTGGGTGCTGGTGTCGGTGCTGGCGTCTGCGCTGGAGTAGGCGCCGGTGGTGGCGCTGGCGTCGCAGCTGGGGAGTCGGAGCTGGGGATAGAAGGGGTGGCCGGCGCACTCGTCACAATCCGAATGTGCCCAGGTTTTCGAAACGGTGATCTCGCCCCAGCGGGGCCTCGTTTTTCGGATCGGTTCGCCGCTCCCGTCGTTCAAGATGGTGCTCTCGCTCCGCCCCGCAAGTCCCACGGATCGCACACGTCCCACAGTGCCCACGTGCCCCACGGGTCGTCCCACTGGTCGCCGTTGCTGCTCTTGCGGTGCCTCGCTGGGGTCATGGGGCTCCAGGTCGGCCAGGACGCGCGTCCGCGGGCGGAGGAAAATCGGCGCACTGGGAAGGGGCCCTGGGACACACACATAAATACACAAAGATACCAGGATTCCCAATATTTTCCCAGATGTTTTGGGTTTTTGTCGTCCCCCCACTTCCCATAGTTTCCCACATTTTCTGGGTAGTCGACGATGAATTGTGTCTGTGTTTTTTCCCCTCCTGAGGGATGGGATTCCCTGGGATGTCAGATGTGGCGCGAGCGCACTTAGCTTGACCTCCTCCCCTCCCCCGCCACCAGTTCTTGAATGGGGCCCAAGGACACACAAATAAGTACACACAAATAAAATGGTTCCCTATATTTTCCCATATGTTCTGGGGTTTGTCTTCCCGCCCAATTCCAATAGTTCCCATATTTTCTGGGGGATCGACGGTTAATTGTGTCTGTGTTTTTTTGTTCCCTCCTGAGTTCTTCCCATCACCTCGGTGGACACTCACGCCTCGCGGGTCGTCCTCCACATCCCCTCTCCCCGCCACGCCGCTCCCTTCCGAGACCGTCGAGCCCCAAAGGCAGCGGCACGTCCCAGTCAGAAGCCGGGCGAGGGCTGGCAAGCCCGTGGCTGCTGAAACGGAGCTCTCCGGGAAGTTGTTTTCTTCTCTTTCGGGGGGGCAGCCTGTTTAGTACTCCCAGACATCCGACGTCTCGATTTTTTCGAGACACGGGCCCCCGACCTCCCGACCACTTCCCCGGGAGCGGTTTTTCATCCCGAGTTGTTCTTTGATGGTCTCGAGGCCCGACGAGGGCCCCGAGAGACCGAAGGCGACGAAAAACCTCCGTCTCGATATTATCAAGACGCCCGATGCCTGGGCTTGGCGCGCTGAGCTTCCTTCCGGGACTTTGCGCCTCTCTTCCTGGGAGACCGTCTTGGCAGCCACGGATCCGCCGGCCCTCGCCCAGGAGGAGGAGGAGGAGGAGGAGGAGGAGGAGGAGGCAAGCCTAGACCTAAGAAGGTCATGCACGACGAATTCACGACACGGGACCCTTCAGGATCCCTCCTTAGCGTAGGCCGAGCCTGGGTTTAACCCCAGGCTCTGCCCACGCCGACCTGGGCCATGAAGTCCGCCTCCAGGCCGTTTTCCCGCGAGCACAGCGTGGGCGAGCACCTCGCGTCCACCTGCGACAGTCCTGGCTAGACCTCCGCGCTGCCTGAGGCGGCGGAGGAAAACTGGGCCTCGACGCCGCTTCCAGCGGCGGAGGAAGAAGCTCTGGCAGCAATCCCAATCGACTCAAGGAACTCCAATTCCTCGGTCCTCGACAGCGCGACCACCTCTCCAGGCAGTCTTTCATTCTTATAAGGATGCTTACCTGCCAGCAATCGATTTCGCCGAGTTTTGGCGTTGTGATCCCTCGGGTCCTTCGGACATCCTGTGAGCAGACCACAAGCCCTGGCGCTCAAAAAGGCGCCGCACTCACGACAGAAAGTGTAGTGGCCTATTCGAGACAGCTTATGTCGCCTTGGCCCCTGCAAAGGAGCCCCGTCGACACGAGCTTTTTCCTTCCACTTTCCGTGGGAGGAGAAACCCTTCCTACAGAACTTACGAGACAACACCAGCTTGGCCTTATCGCTGTGGGCCCGTCTGGCGCAATTCGCACACCTCCAAGACCCTCGATCCCACTCCAGGACGTGACGAGACTCCGGAGGAGGCAGCACCGCACGGCACGGCCGAGGGCCAGGGGCCTGGGAGGCATTCTGCAGACGGCCAGTGGTGTCATCAAACGTGCCTATCTTACAAGTCATGTCTCCGACAAGCCCGGGAACAGCACTTACTTCTTTAGACCTAGACACCCACGCGTCACGGACATGTGGCGGGATGGCGTCTAGCTTGGCGCCCTCCTTCGCCTGAAGGTCGGCGCATTGATTACCGAGGTAGTGACAGAGCTCGAGTCCCTCGAGCTGCTGGGCGTGATCCCTTTTGGAATGCG